TTTTTTTTTTTTTTTTTTTTTTTACGTTCTGTATAGAAATCACAAAATAGATCGACATGAAACAAATTACAACGACGAAGTGTCTTTCCACCGAGATTTGTATTTCATTTCCATGGTATTAAATTCTGGTAATCGTCAGATGGTGTGTTACTACCTTGCGGTCTCCACTCTGTCGAAAGAAATTCACTTCAAGTACACCATCGAATGAAATAACAGCAAAGTGAGAGAAACACGAGATGATAGAAGGTGGAGCAGCAAAGAGTGAAAATTGGAGGATCGAGTGGCAGCGATGGGTTCCAGAAGTCCTGTTGTTACCCTTCTGCGGTAAACCGGAATCATCCAGCAGGAGCAGCCTACGTCGGCAGTTGCACGACAATTGGCAATCGGTCGAAAATAATAGGCAGGCGGCCCGCTGTGGGGGTGGGTTTCGGGGGAGGGATGAAAAAATGGCGTGAGGTCAGAAGAAAGAGGAACGGGCGTGCTTATCGTGCATCGTCTCCAGCTGCCTCGAAACGCTCCTCCAACGGCAAGCTAAGCCCCGACCGGTGTCCCTCCACACCCGACCGTACTTCTCGACGTGCCTCGGCCAAGAGTACCTCAGCTGACGTTCGCAAAAACACCAGCGACCGCACGACGTGTGTCATCGTGTACATCACCCGACACCCGCAGGATCCAACCCCCCGATTCTCCTTCATCTCGTTTGACCATCGTTCTGTGTCCGTTCGTCGATTTTATCGATCGCTTTCCTGTCGATAACTATAGTGCGTCGACACGCAACGGTGGAAGTTCCGATTCCAATTATAATCCCGTTATGTTACTTTCAGTTGTAAGGCGGGTTCGTTGAGAATTAGATCCAAATAGGACTGAATTATTGTATTGTGGAAAAGCGCTGAAGGAAAGACTTCTTGCGAGGAATAAGGATGTATTTATTTCATGTTGTCACATCGACAGAAATGATTATTAACATTCGTTAGTTTCCTCAAGATCGACTGTAGAATAAAGAGAATCCTCAGTGAACGTGCTTTCATACATTGGTATGTATTAACAAGATCGCTTTCTTGTTAATTCAAAGACAGCACTGCTGAGTGGTGCTTGATTTATTAATTACAACGCGGTTGATTTACTCGAGCAGCGCATAATTAAAAGGAGAAAAAAGAAAAAGAAAAAATGGTGCGATCAAGAAATGAAAAACAGAATGAATTACATAAGAGATCAATACGCCTAGTTGGCAACACGATGCTTAACCCATTAAGTACCAGCTGCCTATTTATAGGTGAAGACACATTTTATATTTTCGAAGATTGTAGATACTACGGTATTCTCGCCGAACGAGCTCCTTTATAATTAGAAACACGGTGTCACTGTCGCAACGCCGGCTTCACGAGTATATCTCGAAGTATAACATCGAACGATGAAATATACTCGAGCATCAGTGACTCTGTTTAAATTATTTTAATAATCCACAGATATCATGTTATCACGTTTAATAGACGGTATCTTAAACTGATTACTTACTAAACTGAAAACTAGACAATGTTTGATATATAAAATTTTTCATTATATCATGACGATTTTATGTTTACATCAATATCTCTGATTACGAGAAAAGTTAGATATCTGAAGTGTGGTAGAATGGAACTTAAGTTTGCTTCACGATCAATATAAAAGTCTGTCATTTTCTATTACAAAATGAAAGTCGTCCGATTATGAGATGAATTAGATATTCAAACTCGTCTCCATTAATTCGTTCAAGCATGCAAAGGAAAACGTGCACAACCTTGAAATTTTCTCTATATTTTGATCTTCAGAAGATCCATTATCCACTGTTCTCTTGACACAAAATCACTTCGTTGTAGAGAGCTTTCTAGTAAGATTTAAAACGGCTAGTTTAAAAGGGTAGCTCAACGTTTTCACTGCCAAGGGAAAGGTCTCGGAACAAATTCTCCGGAGACAATTTGTTCGACGAAAGAATTAAAGATGTTAGATGTTTAACACTTTTTTCACCAACGCTTCAGCTCGTTTAATGACGTCATAAAATCGTTGACGTAAATGCTTCGCCGTTGATGATCGAAGAGAAGCTGACAACACTTCGGCCTCTTGAGACGAGTTCGATTTTTTAAACGTTCTTCCCCGCGTTCTTTCTCGAGTGAGCCAAATATAGATCGTTAAATTCGATAATACGATGATCTTGTCCCGATAATCGCTTTTTCTTATCCGGAAACCTTCACCCAGCACGGGAAAAGAAGGAAACGTTTAGAAGCATGCAGAAGAAACACGACACGAAAGTTATTTATCCAATTGGTACATTAAAGTAGAAAGAAATAAATGAGTTTCTTCAAAGTGATCGATAATTATAAATTTAAAATAACGTTGCAACGACTCTGTACTTTTTAATTAATGCAGTCAATTCTAATGTGGCTCGTCCCAAATATCAGGAGAATTTAAAATAGTGCGTACTTTCAAAATTTCAACTTTGCGGGTGTTTTAGGAGCATATTTCTTTGCGCGGGTTAAAAATTTTCAAGAGGAGGACACAGAAAATTACACCCTGAAAATTTTATCATATTCACAAAGTGCTTGA